GTCGACTCCCTTGCAACCCTTGAGAGAGGGTATAATATCTCACATATGTATTTTTCGATTTCTTTATTTATTTCCCTCTTCCCTGCATCAATTGTTATCAAAGCTTCTCTGTACATAGTGGTATCAAAGCCTAAAGACCCATATACCATGATACCACAATGAAGCATCTACAGATGTAGTTATGGAGCGTATGGATCAATTGGATCAAATATTTGAGAGACTCAAAAAAGACTTGGTAGACTGTACTGGCAGACTAGACTAGTACACCAATTTTCCGTACTAGTTCTACAAGATCTACTCAGCAAATTACAATCCAGGGAACAAGGCTGCAAAGAGTTGGAAAATAAAAAATTGATCACCAATTCAAGCTTTGGTTACACAACACAAAAGGCTCCAGAAATTGATCTAGTTGTAAGGGATTAAAAACGAACGGTGGAAACCACAAAAAATTTTGATACCGTAAGAAAATTTGCTGGATTAAGTCCAACAATCAAAAGTCCGACAAGGGAAAGGTGAAAGTATCAAGTTGCAATATAGTGAAGAAAAAATGAAAGAAAATTTATGAAATCCATAAGCTTGAGTTTGAGCTTCTTCCAATCCCAAGAGAATGATGGAATGAGTTTTTTTTTTTTTTAAATTTACTATTTTTTAGATTTTAGGTGTGGGTTATTTTGAGTTTCTAGTTTTCTTTAGGGTTATTTTTACCTTTTTTTGGTTGTAGAGATTTAAGGGGTAGAATCAATTTTTTTTTATTTTATGAAGCGTTAGGATTTGATTAGGATTTCTTAGGGGAACAAGTAGGTTTCCTTTTCTTCTATAAATATGTTAACCATTAGGCTAGAAAAGACAGAGTGAAGTGAAAAGAGTTTGTTTTGGATCTTGTGAAGAGATCTTTTTGGGGGTGGACTCCCTTGCAGCCCCTGATAGAGGGTATAATCTCTCATTTATTTATTTTTATCTTTTATTTCCTAATTTTATTTATTTCTTGCTTCTTGACAATTTTGTAGCTAAGGACCACCTGTAAATGATTTATGTTTTTGTTTTCCCAGGCACAGCTTGCGTAGGTGGTTGAAACAAGAGATCCGACTTGGAATCACACAAGTCGGCTTTGCTCGGAGGGCTCCCTGATCCTGGATAGTTCAAAAGAGGGGAACTGCGACAGTTGTCCAGAACATGGCGGCGGTTCTCACTTTATTGAATCACTCTGCTAGGGAATGGCTATTCTTAACTTCAGTTCTTATCATGACCCTCCAATTTCATTTTTCTCAAATTTTTATGGCACTTTCAGACTATAGATTTCTCATTGTACATGTGCAGATAATCATAAAAAATGGATTATACATTTCTCAATTTATATATATATATATATATATATCAGTGTTCCTCAAGCAATTCCATATACATAAAGTACATATATCAAGCCGCTCCCAGGCCTGCTCCTTGAATAACACTACCAGGTGCTTCCAAGGTAGGAAGCTTCAGCCACAGGTCAATCCCAAGCTCCCATTCTAGCTCTGGCTTCTGCACCCGTTCCACATTTCCACATGTAGTAAAGCATCCCCCCCACTCCCTAAGGTAGAACCAAACAAAGAACAAAGAGGCAATTTTCAGACATGCTTAATTGGTTGATAGAAGGTATGGTGAGTTGTGGCCCACCTCCCATAAAAGTTGGAAAATTGGATGGTGCCTTTTGAAATAGGGTCTGTGGGAACAAGATTATTTCCGATCACATAAGGTGGGTAGAAAGACACAAAGGGCTTCCCTTGAAGCTACTTTTAGACCACAAGAAACAGCTCAAATTTTCAATAGGAGGGCAACCCTTATAAAGGAGATTTTTTTGTTATTTTTTTTCTTTTTTGGGGTTGGGTTTTTTTTGTGCCTTTTTTTGGGTGGGGGGGCTGGGTTGGTTTGGGGGTGGGGGTTGCGGAGGTAGATAATGTGTAGGCATATTTCCAAATCAAGGGAAGCATGAATCATTTAAAATACATATATTGCTCACAACCATAGAAGCCTATATTTAACTTTCTTAAGAGGTGAATCGGACGAAACACAGGAGCTTTATATGTCAAAGTTAGGTACCTTGTCACACCCCAAGAATTTACAATACTAATATTCCTGAGATGTGACAGTATACATATCTTGATAGGACAAATTTACAGTGGCGAATTCTTACAAGGTAACAAAAGAAAGTTTAAGCACAACTACAATATCTTTCAAGGTTGATCTTGACGAGCACTCAAAATGAAACCGCAGTTATCTTGAAAAAATGTTTACCATAATTTGATGAGTTTGGCTACTCAGTAAGTGATC